GACCAATCAAATGTTGGGCCTCCTGCTTAGTCTTGGGGGTAGGTAGTGACAGACACTTATTGTTGCCTGTGGAATGTCATGGGTGGCTCCTGCTCAAGTTTTTCCCAAGAATTTCACTATTTGGGCAGGGCCCTGGGTTGTTGCTGGATTTATTAAAGCCTCTGTTAGTCATGTGGGCCACTACTGTTTTCAAATCTGCCCTAGCCTGTTCTTCCATTTTTGATATTAACATACTATCATCAATGTAACATATCATCAGACTTGAAATCTGAACCAAGTCCAAGTCTCTTCTGACCACATCATGACAGTTAGCTGGTGAATTCAAATAACAGTGTGGCAAACACTGAAAGTAGACTGAGATCCTTCCTTGTGAAAGCACACTGTGGCTGGCTCTTTTCCTAGATTGGGATTGAGAAAAAGGCATTTGTAACATCAATCACTGAGTACATCTCCTTTAGCCTGCTGTAGTTTCTGCACTGTGGATACCAAATGTGGAACAACTGAACCCATCTGTTCTGGTTCCCTAGTGCCACTCTGACAAGAATATACCACAAATGGGATGGCCTTAACAATAGGAGTTTATTCTCTTACAGTTTGGAGGCTTTAAGTCCAAGTTCAAAGTGGCAGGCTCTAGGGGCTGGGTGAAAGCCCCTCAACTTTGGGGTTCAGCTCTGCCTCATGCTTCTGGCCCATAGAAGCTAGAGGCTTTTCTTCACTCAGACAGCTGCTGGCTGCTGAGGCTGCCAAGCCAAAGGCTGCCAAGTAAAAAGGCACAATCCCGATATTACCAAATCACACGGCAGGCCATTAATTCAAGTCCATTGTAAGTCCCAAGACTGATAGAACCTGGCAGGCTGCTGAACAACAACATGGCTACATGCAGGGTCCAAGCGTGCCATAGGCTAGAGACCATTCCTCAAGGCTTCTGCTTATATACAGGGAGCAGACCACATTCCCTAAGGCAGCTACTCAGCTGCTCACAATAGATTCCACCATGGAGTGGATCACCACTCTCATCATGGGGAACACTACATCCAGCTGCCCAGCCACTCAACCAGGCCCAGCCAAGTTGACACACAAACTGAACTACCACACCATCAGTGGCATTACTTTATTTAGGCCTCGATAGTCTACTGTCAGCCTCCATGCCATTGAAAATATAACAGACCATATAGGGCTGTTATACAAAGTATTTGGTGGCACCAATACTCAAGCCTTTAGCATGTCTTTAATCAAAGTAATAATCTTCTTTTTTTTCACCAGGTATCTTATACTGTTTCAAATTAACAACTTGAATGTGTTCAGGCAATTCTAATGGTTCCTATTTAGCATGTTCAGTCAATACTGGGCTATGGCAGACTTACATACCTTCAGTTTTATAATATCAGGTAGAGAGAGTATTCCCCAATTACACATACTATCCATACCAATAATATGTTCAAGTAAGGGAGATGCAATTACTTCATACAATATCTGTTCAGACTTTCCAATTTTCATCCAAACTTTCACCTTAGGCCCATCAACTGCTGCATCTCCGTATCATCTGTCTAACCTTAGGCCTCTTCAGGATTCCACTGACAGGTCTTGGGATGACAGTACATTGGGCTTCTGTGTCCAGGAACCCTAAGAAGGTCTCTTCCCCACCCCTAGGCCATTTTACCCACACATGTGCATATGGCCTTGAATCCCCCCTGCTGGGGGCTGGGCAGTCCTTATCTTCAATGAGATGAGCCTCTGCTTCAGCTGGTCCCAGGTGGGACTTCCCATCATTAAATTCCTCCCAGTTGGAGTGTATAGAATGGATTTGTTTAGTCCTCTTTAACGTTGGGAGACCAGTAGGAGTATCCATTGGTCCACTCAACTCCCGGTAGTGCTACATCAGCACCTTTGTCACAACTCCATCAGTGCTTGCTATATTCTTCCCATTCCTTAGCAACAATCAAAAAATCTCCAACCTGGTGAGGTAAGCTCTTTCCCCATTGCCTCTTCCCATTCTCCTATGAATCATTCTGAGTGTTTCTTGCATCTGTAAGACCCATGTGGGGAAGTGGTACTAGCAGATCCGACAGAGCTTCTCGGATTGCTGCTTTGTTTTGCAGAGCAAGGTTATATGGGGTGCTCATGAAGCATGGGCTCCCTTGATTACCGTATCTGCCATGACCTGTGTAAGGGGCACAGTCATTGGATGAATATCCTGATCATCATAAAGCCATTCCAGCATGATTTGTGTAAGCAGCACATTAGCTGCTTCCTCTGAAGTGTTCCATGGGGTATTTAGAGGGGGAGAGGGGCAGTTTCCCTTCTCAGGTAAATAAACCTCACTGTAAATTTTAGCCAGTTCATCAGGCTAGCTGTCCCCTCCAGGTTAACTTGTTGTGTAACTGGATTTTGGATCATCATTTGTGACTGCTCCATAGTGAATTACGAATCTTGCATCGATCCAAACACATTCTTTCCTTCTGTAACATTCAACACTAAAAACACTGCCCCCAAATTAGTCACTCTCACAATCCATTTTAGTAAAGCTTCTTCAGGAAGCTGATTTACAAACTAAAGCAACTGTGCCCCCTGGTTTCGAGTTTCTTGGTTTTGCCAGTTCCCCTCCTGCACTACCTTCTTGGTGACCAGCAGTTGCAGGGGTACTTCCTGTCGTTCCAACAAAATGTTTCCTTTCCAGATCGGCCCTAAGACTAGTGGTTGTAGCTCTGACTGGACCAGATCTGGGTTTGGTTCAGTGTCACAATCTGTCCCTACATTCCTTCTCTCTGCCATGGCAGCTATTACTGATGACAGCAACCAAGGAATTGTAAGTCTCGCCCTTTCCTTATTGTTCTGTATTTCCATATGCATGCAACTAGCCAATTCCTCAAGAGTTAGATCCACCACTCCTAAATCCCACAAACAGCTTTTGCTTTGAGTAACTGATTGCAACATAACAGCTGCTTCAATCCACAGCTGTTTTTTCATCCCATCCAGAAACCAAAAGTTTCTTAATCTCCTATTTATCCCTCCTCTCCTCACCCCGTTTTTTTTTTTTTTTAACAAAACCACATAATATTCCATTGAGTCTGGGCCATTGCAGCAAATCCCACCCCTGGCACCAACTGCTTGAATAATTTCTTTTAGAAGGGTCAGCACAAGGCTGGTCCTATGAGGTAGAGGTTAAGATGCCCCAAATGTCCAGCTTTTCCAATCTGCTGTGCCACTCCATCATCCATGGCATCAACTCTTCTTCCTCCCCTCAATATTCTTGCTCCCATCTTAGAGTTCTGTATTTCCCTGTAAAGTCTCACAAAACTCACGAACTGCCAAGGAAACGGCTCACACAGTGGTGGAAGCTGGCAAGTCCTAAATCCGAGGGTCAGATGTTGGTCTAGGGGATTGTCCTCACTCACCTGGTTGCAGGGGCAGAAGAACCCAAATTGGAAGGTCAGATGACTGGCTGCTGTCTCAAGTCTCAAGAACCAAGGTCACTGATGAACCAGATGCAGGATCCAGGGCAAGAGGGTGAACTTTTTCAGAACATTCCCATGTATACCCTCAAGGAACCTAAGGGTGGTGACTTGAGTCACACCCTCCAGCAAGGTGGGACTCAAGTTATATCTCATCCCAAAATGGCACCACAATTACAGGCATGGAGACTAGGATTTACAATACATTACAAAATGGAGAACTATTCATCCCATCCCTTAGTAACTATATTAAGTAATTCACTGCACTGCAGATGTGATCAATCAGTCTGAGGGCTTTGGAAACAAAAAAAGAGTTTCCCTGGGCTGTGTTATCCCTCCAGACTATAAATAAATATTTTGGCAAAACTCTCATACACACTCATAGTGATCCCTTTCAGGTTTCCAAGGCAGTAAATCTTTACAGAAATAGATTGCCCCATCTTCCTTCTGCGGAGTAGCTGGTGGGTTTGAACTGCCAACTTCTGGTTAGCAGTCGAATGCCTTATGCACTGCACCACCAGAGCTCCTTAGCTTCCACAGCTATGAGAAAATAATATTTTTGTGTTCTTACAGCAACTCACTCAGCCTTGGTATTTGTTACAATGGCACTAGATGACTAAGATAGAATTTGGTACCAGGAATGGGTTATTGTTCTAAGAAATAACTAAAATGTAGAAGTGCTTTTGCAACCGAGTAGTGAGTGGAGGCTGGAGTTTTGATGTGCTGGACAGTGGGAGCCTTGATGGCCCCGAGGAGGCTGTAGTAGAGTTCACTGAGACACTCTCTTTCGGGGGAGGGTCTAGCCATGTCCTTTCACTGGCATGCATCTGGCCTAGCTGTGGGCACCACAAGCTCCTTCTGCCTGGAAGTCACCTCTGCCCTTCCTTGTCAGCACTCTTTTTCTACCTCACTCTCTCTGGGGAGCTGAAATACTTCCTTTTATGAGCATGGACTCCATCCTGTGTGTCCTGGGCTCCTGTCTCTGGAGGAGCTACAGGAGCATTGGGGGCAGATGCATTCTGGGTGTGCGGTCTCCCGACGCATGATCCTGGGGAACCCACAGTCATCTCACCCACTCAATAGTAGAAATGAAGATGGGTGCTAACTGGCCCTGTCTGTAGTGAGGCTCTGAGTACAGTTCTTGGCTTTGACCAAGCAGAGGAACTAGGAGTGGTCTCCTTAGAAAATTCCTATCTCAAGACTGCAGGTATGCAAGTGGAAATTTATTTAAAAATACACTTAGGTTGGCAATGTTGCCAGACACAAGCAAATGTCTCTTACCTAGGCTACAAATACCCAGGTGTCTGGTTCGGTTATTCTTTTTCAATCTGCCAGAGTCACTTTTGTATGGAGAATACATGTCACAAAAGGAAAGTGACCCTCATGAAGAAGGGGAGGATTCCACAGCTCATTTTCACAACTGGAGAGTAGCCTGCAGCTTGCTGACCCTGATGGGGCCTTGAGGTCTAGTTTTCCACATGACCAAGTCAAAGCTAAAGTGCAAAGGTGCCACCCCTGCCTTCATTTTGAGCAGAAAGCACAGCCAAGTCATGTGCACTGGTAGAGTGACCAGACACTGATGCGCCGGTCCCCAGAGCCTGCGGCCAGCAAGCCGTCGCTGGCGAAGGCCACACAGTTGACAGCCGAGGTGTGGAAGTCCAGCACAGCCAGCGGCTTCATTGTCCTCCAGTGGAATATGCGGACACGGTGGTCCCAGCCCGCGGTGGCCAGGAGCTTGCGATCTGGCCGGATCACGACGTCAGCTATGCCGGGATTGGTGAGTTCGTGAGTTCTGCACACCTACAAGATTGAAAGCAGCAGGAAGAACCGTCAGGTGACATAATATGAGCCTTCTCATAGATGCTCATCCATGAATGGCCCCAAGGTCTGGCTACTAGGGACAAGGAAGAGAGGCGGGCCTGCTATGACTCCTGCACATTTCTGCAGAGCTTACCCCCTACCTCCTCAGGGTCAAGGCACAGACCTGCCTCAGGAAGAGGCCTGACCTTGACCAAACCCTTGGGTTATGAGGGAAGAATTCGGGCACTTTCTTGTGGTGCACATTTGATGCCCAGCAGAGTGGCTTCTGTGGTGGGTCAGCTTCCCTGCCATGAGGTCCTGCTGGGGAGGGGCTGGTTCTGACTGATCTGCCTCCTTCCTTGGGGTCTTACATGAAAAAGGGAACTCCCAGCCCTCAAGAAGGAAAGACTACTTTGCTTAGGTTGGGTACTGGTGCCCCTCACCATGTGGCTGGGAATTAATTAATCAAAGGCTGTTTCTATTTATTTATTTTTTAACCCTTTTATCGTGATTTGGGTGAAAGTTTACAGAGCAAATTAGTTTTCCATTCAACAGTTCATACACGTTTTGTTTCATGACATCAGTTACAATCTCCACAATTTAACATTGCTCTTCCCATTTCTTTCCTATGGTCACCATTTCCCTTTGTCCTTCTTTCCCATCCATTGCTTCCTTCTGAGCTTTATCCCTGGGCAAATATTGCCCTTTTGGTCTCTTATGGTTGATTGTTCTAAGGAGTACGTACCGCTCTGGTGTTAACTCTTCACTGCATAGGCCTGACTATTGTTTGACTGAAAGTTGGGCCATGGGAGTGAGTTTAGTTCCAGGCTTGAAGGGCATTTAAGGGCCATAGTCTCCAGAGTTCCACCAGTCTCTATCAAAGCAGTAAGCCTGGTCTCTCTCT